ATATCCGCGCCGCCGACGGCGGAGCCCTCGGGCGTGCCGACGTCCGTGCCGACGGCGCCGCCGACGTCCGCGCCCACGACCGCGCCCTCGGCGGGCCCCACGACGCTCTACCGGCCCTCCCCGGCGCCGTCCGCGCCGCCGACGTCCGCGCCGACGTCCGCGCCGACGGCGCCGCCCTCCGCGCCGCCGACGTCGCCGCCGACGTCCGCGCCGACGGCGCCGCCGTCCGCGCCGCCGACGGCGCCGCCGACGAGCGCGCCGACGAGCGCGCCGACCGCGACCGCCGAGCCGACGGGCGCGCCCACCGCCGCGCCTCCGACGCCGGCGCCGACGGAAGCGCCCTCGACCGCGGCGCCGAGCCCGAGCCCGTCGAGCGCGCCCTCCCCGCGGCCGTCGTCTCCGCCGTCGCCGCTCCCGAGCCCGAGCCCGACGCTGCTCCCGACCGTCGGGGAGCCGACGTCGCTGCCGACTTCCGCGTTCCCGCCGACGTACGTGCCGAGCTACGCGACGCCCGCGCCTGTGTCATAAGGAGAGGTCGCGTCCCTTCGTCTTGTGCCTGGGACGCGAGCAGGGACGTCTGGTGCTACCTACGAGAGGAAGGGCCCTTCGGACGGGGATTAGACCTAAGGAGCGGCTAGAGGAGCTCGAACGCGGGCTTCGCCTCCCGCGGCGCGAGCGCCGCGTCGACGTCGAGCGCGGCCGCGCGGATCGCGCAGCCGAGGGCGACGGCCTCGTCGACGGAGACGGCCTCGCTCGCCGCGACGATCTTGGCCAGGGGCAGGCCCGTCACGCGCCGGAGGAGCCGGCCGACGGCGGGCATGCGCGTCGCGCCGCCGACGAGGAGCACGGAGTCGAGCGGCGGCCCCGCGCCGTCGCCCGGGAGCGCGACGCCGGCGGCCTCGCAGACGTCGCGCGTCGTCGCCTCGAGGCGCGCGAGGAGCGGCGCGCAGAGGGCCTCGAAGAGGCGCCGGGACACCGTCGCCTCGAGGTCGAGGGGCCTCCCGCCGCGCGCGCGCTTGCCGTCCTCGCCGACGCGCGCGAGGCCCCGCGCGCCCGCGACGACGTCCGCCTCCGACGACAGCGCGTGCTTGACCTGGGCAGCACAAGGGTGATTCAACGTCGCTTCAACGTGAGTGTTCCGCGCGCGCGCGTGCCGAAAAAAGCATCCGCGCTTCGAGACCGTTCCGAGAGATGATCGCTCGTCCAAAAATCAGCCGAAACGAGTGGAAAACGGCCGAGATATGAGCCTTTGAAGTTGGGAATTTCGCTCTCTTTTGCTGCCCTGTGCTTGACGCGCTCCGCCTCGGCGAGCAGGCGGAGCCGCGCCGTCGGCGCGGCGACGGGCAGGCCGTGCGCGTCGTAGAAGCGGTCGCTCAGGTGCTCCGCGAGCGCCGCGTCGAAGTCGTCGCCGCCGAGCTTCGCGTCGCCGCCCAGGCTCGCGAGCGTCGCGTTCGCGTCCGCCAAGAGGACGACGGACGCGTCGAAGGTGCCGCCGCCGAGATCGAAGACGAGCACGCGCTGCGTCGCGCCGCCGCCGCGGACGCGCGAGCCGTAGGCCAGCGCGGCGGCCTCGGGCTCCGTGATGAGGTGCACGGCGTCGAAGCCGCCGAGGCGCGCGGCGGTGATCGTCGCCTCGCGCGCGGCGTCGTCGAAGCGCGCGGGCACGCCGACGACGGCGCGCCGCGCGTAGCCCGCCGGGGGCGCCGCGCCGGCCTCGGCGAGGCACGCGATGGCGTCGTCGCGGAGCTTGCGCACGACCTCCGCGCTGACCTCGGCGGCGGCGACGCGCGCGGGCAGCGCGGGCACTTTCAGCGTCGTCACGCCGGGGCCGTGGACGCGCGAGTCCTCGAGCGCGCCGACGCGCCGCCGCTCCTTGAGCGTCGCGTCGCGCGCGAGGATGCGCTTCACGCGCGAGCACACGGACGCGCCGTGCACCGCGTGGCCCCGGAGCGCCTCCGCGGCGTGCCCGACGACGGCCGCGACGCCCGTCTGCTCGTCGTCCCTCAGAGCCACGCGCCCCTCGAAGAAGTCCGCGTCGTCGCCGGCGACGAAGCAGACGACGGAGGGCACGAGGGGCGTGAGCAGCCGCGGCGCGCCGGACGCGTCGACGGCGGCCACCGCGGAATTCGTCGTGCCGAGGTCGAGGCCGACGGACGAGCCCATCGACCCGAAGCCCGACGACGCCGCGGCGCCGCCCCGGGCCGCCGCCGTCGCGTTGCCCAGGAGCCAGGAGTACTCGTCGTCGTCCTGGGCGGACGCGGCGCCGTTGGCCGCGTAGGCCTCCGCGAGCGCGGCGTCGCCGGCCGCCACGGGCGCCGCGTCCGCCGCGACCTCGTCCCCGGGCGCGTCGCCGCGCGCCGTCGCCGCGAAGGCGAGGGCCGCGCGCGCGTCGAGCGCGAAGTCGACGGCGGACCCGTCGAGCACCTCGTGGCAGGACCGCACGCTGTCGAGGATCGACGCGCTCGCGGCGTCGTCCTCGCCCGCGAACTCGGCCTCGAGCTCTCCGAGGAGGCGCCGCAGCTCCGCGTCGTCGTCCTCGTTGCCGGAGAAGTAGGTCGACACGTCCACGGGCTCCTCGGCGCAGTCCATGGACGCGTGGATCGTCACGCCCGCGTCGCGCTCCTCGCCCTCGTGGACCCAGCCCTCGTCGTCCATGACGTCGAACGAATCGCTCGACGTCGCGAAGCCGTCGCCGTCGCCGTCGAAGGCATGGCGGAGGGCGCGGCGACCGCGCGCCGGCCCGGGGGCGACGAGGGCAGAGGCGAGCCCGCAGAGTAGCAGCAGGATGCGGCCCAGCATGCGGCCCAGCATGCTCTCGATTCGATTTGTGAGAGGCACCTCCAGGGGTTCAACCGTTGGATACAACCAGAAGTTGCACTTCCGCACGCGACGGCAAGTGCGTCCGCGGGCCCATACCCGAGGGGGGTGACCGCCGGTATGCCTGGTAGTATGCGCCTACTATGCGGGTTTTATGCGGGTTTTATGCGGGTGGTATGCGGGTTTTATGCGGGTTTTATGCGGGTGACCGGGTGGTATGCGGCTGCTATGCTGGTCGTATGCGGGTGGTATGCGGGCAGTATGCGGGTGGTATGCGGGTGGTATGCGGGTGGTATGCGGCTGCTATGCCGGTGGTATGCGCCTGCTATGCGGCGACCTCCGGCGGCCGTCGCCTGGGGTCGTCGACAGCGGTCGCCGGGCTGCTATGCTGGTGGTATGCGCCTGCTATGCTGGTCTTATGCGCCTGCTATGCTGGTTTTATGCGTCTACTATGCGCCTGCTATGCGTCTACTATGCGGCTGCTATGCGCCTGCTATGCGCCTGCTATGCGGGTGGTATGCGGCTGCTATGCGTCCGCTATGCGTCCGCTATGCGGCCGCTATGCGGCTGCTATGCGGCTGCTATGCCGGTGTATGCCCGGCTGGTGTATGCCTGGTGGTCGGCCCCCTCTGGCCCATACACGGCGACATAGAACGGCGACAGCGACGTAGGTGTTAAATGTCGGACCCCCGGCACCGCGGCGGTGGCGGGGGCCGTAGCGCGAGGGCCGCGCGGTCCGCGGGCCTCTGGATTTTCCCCCCTCAGTCCTGGTACTCGTCGATCGGGGACCAGATGTCGAGGAGGTAACGGCCCTGCTCCTTGAGGTCGCCGAGGGCCTTGAGGGCCGCGGCCTCGTCCGGCGCGGCCTTTGCGGCGACGAGCGCGTGCGCGAGCGCCGCGTGGACGTCCTTGGCCATGTTGTTGCCGTCGCCGCAGACGTAGACGCGGCCGTCCGTCGTCGCGAGGATCTTCGCGAGGGCCACGGCGTCGTCGCGCATGAGGCTCTGGACGTAGACCTTCTTCGCCGTCTCGCGCGAGCACGCGAGCCGCAGGTTGCAGCCGCGCGCCGCGTGTGCCTGCATCTCCGCGCGGTAGAGCCAGTCCTGGTCGCGCGCGCGGCAGCCGAAGTAGAGCGTCGACGACGGCGGCGGCGCCGCGGCGGCCGGCGGGCGCGCGCCGGGGATCATGGGTCGGGACCCGGGGAGCATGGGTCGGGACCCCGGCATGGCCGGCCGCGACCCGGGCATGGCCGGCCGCGACCCGGGCATCGCCGGCCGCGAGCCGGGCATCGCGGGCCGCGAGCCGGGCAGGGTCGCGGCGGGCGGCGGCGGCGCCTTGGCGGCCTTGAGGCGCGTTCGGTGGTCGAGGAAGCCCATGAAGGGCGCGACGCCCGTGCCCGGCCCGATCATGACGACGGGCGCGTCCGGGTCCTCGGGCAGCTGGAACGCCTGGGCAGCAAAAGGGTGATTCAACGTCGCTTCAACGTGAGTGTTCCGCGCGCGCGCGTTCCGGGAAAAGCATCCACGCTTCGAGGCCGTTCCGAGAGATGATCGCTCGTCCAAAAATCAGCCGAAACGAGTGGGAACCGGCCGAGATCGGAGCCTTTGAAGTTGGGAATTTCGCTCTCTTTTGCTGCCCTGTGGAACGCCTCCGACGCCTTGAGGAAGACCTTGAGCGTGAGTGCCGGCGCCTCGCCCCGGAGGAAGGGCGCGAGCGTCTCCTCGAGCCAGGTCGTGCAGACGCCCTCGCGGTCGTGGAGCACGTCCGGGCCCGCGAGGCCGTGTTTGGCCGCGACGCCGGCGCCCGCGGTGAAGCGGACGACGGAGAAGGCGACGGCGGCGACGCCGTGGCGGCTCCGGCCGTCGGGCGCCAGCGGCGACGACGCGACGGAGTAGTAGCGCGCCGACAGGGCCGGGAGCGCCCGCGCGAGCGCCCTCGCCGTCGGCGGCCGGCACGACTTGAGCGCGCCGAGGAGCTCGTAGGCCCGCAGCTTCGGCGCGGCGACGCAGGCCTCGTAGAGCTTGGCGCCCGCGGGGCGGGCGGCGAGGGCGAGGCAGGCGTCGCGGTCCCTCGCGTCGCCGCACCACGCCGCGAGCGCGCGGAGGAGCGGCCGCGTCGGCGCCGCGCTCAGGTCCCGGCCCCACTCGAGGTCGTCGCCCAGGGCGGCCGCGTCGACGCCCAGGGCCTTCGCCGCCGCCGCGAGCGCCGGCGGCGGGTTCGGGCACTTGATGCCGATGGAGTCGCCGGGCTCGTAGCGCGCGCCCGAGCCCGCCAAATCGAACTCGCAGTGGATGACGCGGCGGTCGCCCTCGTTGCAGAGGTCGCGCGCGGCGACGACGGGCGCCTCGAAGGGCTTCGCCGCCGTGTGGGTCCCGCCGCGGCCCGCGTCCTCCGCGGCGGCCTCGGCGACGGCTTCGGCGACGGTCTCGTCGTCGGCGTCGCGCGGCGGTTTCGGGAGCTGCGCGGCGTCGAGACCCCCCGGCGCCGCCGCGAGGAACCTGGCCACGTCCAGCGCCTCGACGAGGCACGTCGCGCCCGCGGGCAGCGGGCCGAGGCAGTCCCTCGGCTCCGCGGGCTCGCCCAGGTCCGCCGCGGCCTCGACGACGCCGCCGTCCGCGAGCGCGCCGACGGCCGCGAGCGCGCCCCAGAGGCCGCAGACCCAGGGGTCGACGACGGCCTCGAGGCCCGTCGCCTCGTCGGCGCAGGCCAGCCCGTAGAACCGCTCGCCCCCGAGCTCGCCGAGGCGCTTGTCGATGGTCTTGCCCACGTGGCAGAACTTGTCGTAGTTCGTGTCGCCGAGGGCCAGCACCGCGTAGCGGACGCCCGCGAAGAGGTCCCCGGGCTGGCTCCGCTTGCGCGCGAAGCGCCAGAAGCGGTCCGCGCTGTCCGGCGCGTCGCCGTTGCCCGTCGTCGACGTCACGCAGACGCAGACGGACCCGGGGCCGAGCACCTGGCCGCCGTCGGCGCGGCGGTCGCGCCACGAGTCGAGCGGGCCGACGACGACGTCGCAGGCGGGCGACCGCGCCCGCAGCTCGTCGCCGATGTCCGCGGCGATGCAGGACGCGTTGCCCGTCTGCGACCCGTAGAGCACCGCGACGACGCGCGGCGCGGCGCCGTCCACAGCGACCGCGGCGGCCGCGGCCGGCGCGGCCGCGCCGCCCGCCGACGGCTGGAGCTTGGCGACGACGGCGTCCTGGAAGGCGGCCGCCGTCGTCGCCTCGACGAGCGCCGTCGCGCCGAGGGCCGCGAGCCGCGCGGAGAGCGCCGCGCCGCACGCGCCGTCGCCTAGATCGACGACGGCGACGAGCAGGTCGTCGAGCCGGTCCTCGCTCCGCTTCAGGAAGCGCCAGAAGCGGTCGTAGCCCACGTCCTGGCCGCCGTCGCCCTCGGACGCGAGGACGACGGTCACGCTCCGCGCCTCGCTCAGCGAGCTCGCCGCCTTGCGCGTCAGGCCCGCGCAGCCCGCCTCGTCGCAGCCCGCGGCCTTGAGCTTGCTCTCCAGCGCGTTGGCGTAGGCCTCAGCCCGGGCCAGGTCCTTGCCGCCGAAGAGCACGGCGTCGCGCGCGATCTCGGCCATGGTCTCGGCAGCAGCAGCACGTCGAAGCCGGCGCCGATGACGACGGCGGTGTCTGAAGATGAAGTCTGAGGAAGCTGGCGAAGCCGAAGGAGCTGTCGCAGGTGCCGCCGCCTTGCATCGGCTTCGGCTTCGGCATCGCCCGTCGACGGCAGCGCGTTCCGCGCGCAACACACGAGCCATGCCCGACATCAAGCGCACGCGCAAGGGCCGGCCCGGCCCGAAGGCGCAGCGCTCGGCGTTGATCGTCGCGAGCGGCAAGTCGAGCGGCCGCGACGCCCAGGTGCAGCCGAAGCGCGAGTCGGCGCCGCGGCCGAGCAAGCCGAGCATGCTGAGCGTCTTCGAGGCCGGCGACAGCGTCGAGGCCTTCCTCGAGCGCGCGACGGAGAAGGAGGAGGCCTACGAGACGGCGCGGGGCCTCGAGCAGTCGCGCGCGGTCTACGTCGACCCGGACCTCGCGGCCGACGCCGCGCGCGCGGCCCGCGGCGTCATCCTCGCGCCCGGCGCGACCGCGCCGCTGCCCAAAGCCGCCAAGGGCGCGCTCTTCGCCCCGCTGGACGTCCCGAAGCGGCCGGCCTGGGACGCGACGACGACGGCCGAGGTCTTGGACGCGCGCGAGCGGTCGTCGTTCGTCGACTGGCGGCGCGCGGTCGCGGCGCTGGAGGAGCGGGAGCGCAAGCGCCGGGAGGCGGCGCGGGCGGGCAAGCGGCTGGCGCCGTCGGCGTCCGTGTCGACGCCCTTCGAGCGCAACCTCGAGGTCTGGCGCCAGCTCTGGCGGACCTTGGAGCGGAGCGACGCGGTGCTCCTGCTCGTCGACGCGCGGTGGCCCGACTTCTACGCGAACCCGGACCTCATCGCCTACGCGCGGAGCCTGGGGCGCGAGGTGCTCATCGTCGTGAACAAGGCGGACTACCTGCGGCCGGCGCAGCGCGAGGCCTGGGCCGCGCACTTTCGCGCGGAGCTCGGGCTCGAGACGGCGTTCTTCTCCGCGCGCCAGGAGCAGGCGGCGCTCGACGAGGAGGGGCGGCGGGCGCGCGACGCGGCGCTCGCGGCCGAGGCGCCGACGGACGCGGACGACGCGGCGCCGGCGCCGCGGCCCGAGGTCGAGGCGGCGACGGACGACGCGCCGAAACCCGAGGCGGCCGTCGAGGCGGCCGACGCGCCGCCGGACGCGGACGACGCGGCGCCGACCCCCGCGACGCCGCCCGCGGCGCGCGCCGCGACGACGCGGCTCCTGGGCCGGCGCGAGCTCCTCGCGCGCGGCGAGGCGCTCGCGAGGGCCTCGCGCGCCGCGCGCGGCGACGACAAGGAGGGCCGCCCCCACTGCGTGGGCCTCGTGGGCTACCCGAACGTGGGCAAGAGCTCCTGCGTCAACGTGCTGCGGGACTGCGACGCCTACGCGCACGGCGTCGGCGCGCGCGCGGGCGTGTCCGCGACGCCGGGGAAGACGAAGCACCTGCAGACGCTGCTCGTCGGCGACGACTTCGAGCTCTGCGACTGCCCGGGCCTCGTGTTCCCCGCGCTCGTCGCCGGCGGCGCGGCGGAGCTCATCTGCGCGGGCGTCGTGCCCATCGCGCGCATGCGCGAGCCGCTCGCGGCGTGCCAGGTCGTCGCGGATCGGACGCCGCGCGCGCTCTTCGACGCGCTCTACGGCACGGAGCTCTGCCGGCAGGCGGGCCCCCTGGACGCGCGGGTCCTCCTGGACGCGGTCTGCGAGCGGCAGGACTACCTCTGCGCGGGCTCGGGCGCCTTCGACCACAACCGCGCGGGCCGCGAGGTCGTGCGCGCCTACGTCGACGGCGTCCTGCTCCACTGCCACGCGCCGCCGGGCCTCGCGGGCGACGCCCTCGCGGCGTTCCGCGCGGACACGCGCGAGACCGCGACGGGCCGCTGCTCCGCGCTCCGCGCGAAACTCGAGGACGTCGCGAGGCGCGCGCGCGCGGGCCGCGCGCACCACGTCGGCGTGCTGTCGTCCGTGGCCGCCGCGGGCTTCGACGTGCCCGACGTCGACGCGCGCGACGCGCCGCCGCCGCCGCCGCCGGAGCCCGAGGTCCGCGCGAAGGTCGTCTCGAAGCGCAACAACAAGTTCGGCAAGAAGGGCCGCAAGTTCCGCGACCGGGACCCCTACGCGCCCGCGGTGGGCGGGGGGGAGGGGGGGCTGGACTTTTAAGTAAGGGGATGTCTTCTGTTTCAACTGAGTCGTGTGGGGACTCCTGCGTTTAGCGCCTTTGCGCGCAAGGTTTGGTGCCGCCGCCGGTCGGACAAAAAATACGCAAATCCTTTGGAGCTGAAGTCGCGTCGACAACGCGCATCCTTGTCGACCAAGAGACCTCAAGTGATTATGCGAGCCGCGGCGTCCTGAATTCGCACCGCGTAACCCCCGCGCGCCCTCCGGCGACCTCCCATGCACCCCTGCATCGCCCTCGAGCGACCGCGCAAGCTTTTGGGCAACGCGAGAGACGGGGCGCCCCGCTTGATCGCCCACCCTCCCAGCATCGCCTGCCGGCTCCATTTTCCACGCTTCCGCCCGCGCGCGCAATCGTTTGACCCCGCCCTCCCCTCTCGCAGGAAGCTCATCCTCGCCCTCGCCGCCCTCGCGCCCGCCGCCGCCTTCGTGGCGCCGGCCGCCCAGTCCGCGACCGTCAAGGTCCAGGAGACCAAGGCCGACCTCGAGGCGCTCGCGGTCAAGCTCAACCCCGTCGTGGGCTACTACGACCCGCTCGGCCTCGCCGACGCCGACCTCTGGGGCCGCGGCAACGAGTACACCATCGGCTGGCTCCGCCAGGCCGAGATCAAGCACGGCCGCGTCGCCATGGCCGGCTTCGTCGGCTACTGCCTCCACGCGAACGGCGTCCAGTTCCCGATCCACATCCCGGGCGACTACTCGACCAAGTCCCCCGCGGAGCTCTGGGACCAGATGCCCGAGGCGGGCAAGTGGCAGATCATCCTCTTCGTCGGCTTCCTCGAGTTCTGGTCCGAGTCCGGCGCGGGCGGCGCGCACTACACCAAGGGCGGCAAGCCCGGCGCGTTCCCCTCGTTCAACTCGCCCGCCGCCGGCGACGAGTACAAGATCCCCCACCCCGTGCCCCTCGACCTCTTCGACCCGGCCGGCCTCTCCAAGAACGCGTCGCCCGAGAAGAAGGAGCGCGGCCTCCTCATCGAGATCAACAACGGCCGCCTCGCGATGCTCGGCCTCTTCGGCTTCCTCGCCGAGTCCAAGGTGCCCGGCTCCGTCCCGGCCCTCTCCTTCATCCCCGCCTACGACGGCGACTACATGGCCCCCTTCGCCGCCAACTTCCACGTCTTCAACTAGACGCCGACGCCGACGCCGGCCGCGCGGTGCCCGCTGGACGGGCGGCGCACGCGGGGCCACCCACCAAACCACATATAAGTGCCTTTCCCAGGTAGCGGCGCGTGGGGCGCTGGTCGGCGGCGCGCGGCGGCGGGAGCCGATCTGGCCACGTGAGCTGGCGGCGCTAGGCCGTCGCGTAAAACCGGCGCGGTGGCTGGCGCCGGCGGGATGTGGGCCGAGGGCTTGCTCGGCGGAAAACTTGGAAGTCCGCGGGCTTGGGCAATTCCAGAGAAAAGTTTGAGTCCTTAGCTCGCACGTGCCGGCACGTCTTTACAAGTTCTAAACTACTGCACCGGCACTGCAATAAAAAAATGGGCTGCCTCTCTCGACGATGATCCACGGCCTCGAGGCGGAGCTCAAGCGGTCGCGGGAGATCGCGGCGGGGACGTGGACGCCCCCGCGGCACCTCGAGGCGGACTTCGCGGACGAGTTTCCCATCCCGCCAAAGGAGGCGCAGCCCGCGGAGGCGCCCAAAGCCCCCGCGCCGCCCGTGGCCTGCAGCGAGTGCAAGGCGCTCTGCGAAGAGCAGACGCTCACGTGCTCGCGGTGCAAGCGCGCGCACTACTGCAGCAAGGCCTGCCAGGTCCGGGCCTGGCGGAGCGGGCACAAGCGCGTCTGCGCGCCGGCGACGGCGTTCCGCGCCGGGCAGCGGTGCGTCGTCAAGGGCCTCCGGTCGTCGCCGGAGCTCAACGGCCGGGTCGTCGTCGTCGTGGGCCCGAGCGGCGCGGCCGGCGGCGAGCGGTGGACCGTGCGGACCGCCGCCGACGAGGCGGGCGGCGCGCGGAGGCTCGCGGTGCGGCCCGAGAACCTCATGGAATTCTGGGACCCCGCGGACCGGCCCGCGCCCCCCGAGCTCAAGACGCCGAGCCGGGAGGAGGCGATCGAGACGCTCCTGGCCTACCGCGACTCCCTCGCCGAACGCGGGCCCCTCGCGGGCGTCGGCGCGTAACGACGTCCGTCGGACGCGACCTACGACCGTTGCGAACGTCCAGAGGCGCTCGTAGTGCGCCCCCACCGTGCGACTCAGGCCGTTACGAACTTCCAGATCTTGACGAGCGCGTCGTCGCCGGCCGTCGCGAGGAGCGTCGCGTCCGCGGGGCTCCAGCGGACGGAGTTGACGTCGCCGTCGTGGGCCTTGGGCGCGTCCGCGAGGCGCGCGAACCCCGCGCCCAGGCCGTAGACCGATACGCGGTCGTCGCCGCCGCCGCTGGCGACGCGCGTCGTCGGGTCCGGGCCGACGGCGTCGCAGCTGTAGACGCAGCGGCCGTGCGCGTTTTCGAGCGCGGCGCCGACGGTCCACGCGTGGGGCTCGCCCTCGACCCAGAGCCGCAGGACCCGGTCCGCGCCGCAGCTCACGAGGCGGCGCGACCCGTCCGGCGCCGCGACGAAGCGCAGGTCCCAGACCGTGCTCCCCGAGCCGGCCAGCGTCGCGCGGCAGCTCCAGTCGTCGCCGTCGTCGCCCCAGAGCTTGATCGAATCGTCGTAGGAGCAGCTCGCCAGCAGGTCGTCGTCCCGGAGCCGCGAGCAGGCGTCGAAGCACACGGCCTTGACGTCGCCGCCGTGGCCGTGAAGCACGGAGACGAGCTCGAAGCCCTCGTCGTCGCCGAACTCCCAGAGCCAGACGCTCTTGTCGCGGCCGCAGGTCGCCAGGAGCGTCGCCGACGCGTTCCACGCCGCGCCCTTGACCTCGTTCTCGTGGCCCTCGAGCGTCGCGATGATCTCCCACTCGAGCGGCCCGCCGCCGCCGCCGCCGCCGCCGTCGTCGTCCGCGCGGCGCCAGACGCAGCACGTGCCGTCGAAGGACACGGCCGCGAGGTAGCGCCCGCAGGGCGACCAGTCGCACTTGCGCACCGTGCGCTCGTGGGCGTCGTCGAGCGTCGACACGAGGCCCCAGGCGCCGCCGGCGCAGTGCCAGATCTTCACGCAGCGGTCGCTGCTGCAGGACGCGAGCAGGGACCCGTCCGGGCTCCACGCCGCGTGCCAGACGCGCTCGCTGTGGCCGGCGAGGCTCGCGACGCAGGTCAGCGTGCCCGGGAGCGTCGAGTCCGTTGCCATCGGGCTCGCCTCGAGCGCGGCCATGCTCGCCTATAGCTATGTAGTGGCAATCTCTAGGGGCAAGGTCGGCGATGCAGTCTATGTTGCACTCGCAGCAGTTTGGCCGCACGATGGCTAGCGGGTAGAACCAAATAATGGGCTGCCCGCAGTCGAAACAGAGCCCGCCGCCCGCGGTCGCACTACCACCACCAGCACAGATCATCACCCAACCCACGGCACCCACACCAAAACCATCCAAAAAGACAACCCACACACCGTCGTCGACGCTGACCATCGCGTTCTGCCGCGACGTGCCCACGGACGAGCTCGCGCGGCGCGTCGCCGAGCACCGCGGCGTCACGCGCGTCCTCCGCGTCGAGGCGAGCCGCCTCGGCGCCGGCGGCGGCGCGCAGCTCTCGCGGGCCGTCGTCCACGGCTTGCGCGCGTCGGAGCTCGTGGGCCTGAGCCTGGCCCACTGCGGCCTGTCGACGGCGGGCTGCGTCGCCGTCGCCCGGGCCTTCCTCGAGACGCGCCTGGCGTCGCTGGACCTCAGCGGCAACGACGTCCGCGCCGAGGGCGTCGTCGCGCTCGCGGCCGCGGTCCGCGGCCGCGGCGGCCGCGGCGCCTGGGGCCCGCCGGGGTCGCGCGTCGAGCTCCAGCTCGCCGAGAACCCCCTCGTCGGGTCGCCGCCCCACGTCGGCGTCGCCGCACTCGCGGAGCTCGTCGCCGCGCTCGCCGAGGCCGCGCCGCGGCGGAAGGCGCTCGGCCTCGCGGCCGTGGGCCTGCGCTTCGGCGGCGACTCGGCGCCGGGGCGCGCGCTGCTGGACCAGCTCGCGCGGAGCCGCTTCGTCCACGTGGACCTGCGCCACAACCGCCTCGACGACGCCGCGGCGCGCGCGCTCGCGGCCGCGCTCTCCGCGCGGACGGCGCGGGAGCCGCCGGCGGACGCGGAGCCCGGCGTCGACGCCGACGCGGCCCTCGCGGCGGCCATCGGCGCCCTGGACGACCGCCACCCGCTCGCGCCCGTGCAGCCCGCCTTCGGCCTCCTGGACGGCCGCGGCGACGGGCCGTTCTGGACGCCCGCGAGCGTCGCGGAGGTCCTCTCCGCCGCCGCGAAGGCGCGCGTCGCCGAGCGGGACGTCGCCGACGTCGCCCGGGCCCGGGGGCTGCTGGCGACCGACGGGACCGTCGACGGCGACGCGTGGCGCGGCTTCGCGGCTTTGGCGCTCGCGGCCGCGCGCGGCGAGGCCGGCGCGGGCCCGCTGGAGCGCCTCGACCTGCGGGGCAACCCCATCTCGGTCGACGGCGAGGCCGCGCTCAAGGACGCCTGGAAGGACCTGCGCGCGGCCGCGTCGGACCGGTGCCCGGGCTTCCCGACGGGGCCCGCGCCGCAGCTCCTGATCCTGGACGCGTCGAGCGACGCGCGCGACGTCAACCGGCGGGCGGCGGCGCGCCTGCGGGACGTGACCTTGTCGCTCGCCAACCGGCCGGAGGCGCCGAGGCCGAAGGCGCCCGCGCCCGTCGCGTCGAAGCCCGCCGCGCGGCCGGGCCGCGGGGACCTCTGGCGGACGATCGCGCAGCTCCTCTGCGACCTCGAGGACGCCGGCTCGGACCTGAAGGCGCTCTTCGCGTCCTGGGACAGCACGGGCGACGGCGAGATCTCCCTCCGCGAGTTCCACTCGGGCCTCTCGAACCTCCCCGGCGACGACTTCGCGGCGTTTACGCCGGAGGACGCGGCCGTGCTCGTCCGCGAGGCCATGGACAAGGACGGCGACGCCCACGTGTCGCTCGCCGAGTTCCTGGGCTTCGCGCAGCGGGGGCGCAGGGCCCTCGCGGGGTCGCGGCTGTCCTTCGAGCAGCAGGTCGCGGCGCCGCCCGCGACGCCGGCCCCGGCGCCCGCGCCGCCGCCCGCCGCCGCGCCGCCGGCGTTGCGGGACCCCAAGCTCTGGCCCGCCGCGGCGATCAAGATCTGCAAGCTGCTCGTCATCTTCGAGAACGGCGGCCAGTCGCTCCGCGAGGCGTTCGCGGCGTTCGACAAATCCAAGGACGGCGAGCTCTCCGCGGGCGAGCTCCACCGGGGCCTGGCCGCGCTGCCGGGCGGCGTCTTCGCCGACCTCGACGTCGACGACGTCAAGCAGCTCTTCGCGGACTGCCTCGACGCCGACGACGACGGCCACGTGTCGCTCGGCGAGTTCGTCGACTTCGTCGAGCGGGGCAAGCGGGGCCTCGGCGACGCCGTGCTCGGCGTCGCCAAGGCGGCCACGCCCAAGGCGACCACGCCCAAGGCGACCACGCCCAAGGCGAGCACGCCGGCGCCGCCGAAGCGGTCGTTCTTCGACGACGACGAGCCGGTCCCCGCGCGGCGGCTCAGCGACCAGAGCGCGCGCGTCGCGAAGCTCCTGATCCTCTACGAGGACGCGGGCAACAGCCTCAAGGACGCCTTCGACAAGTTCGACAAGTCCGGCGACGGGAACATCTCCATCCACGAGCTGCTCGTCGGGCTCCAGGGCCTCGGCGCGGCCTTTGCGAACATCTCCCGGGAGGAGGTCGAGAAGATCGTCATCGACGCCTTCGACAAGGACCTCGACGACGCCCACATCTCCCTCCACGAGTTCACGGAGTTCGTCAAGCGCGCGCGGGCCGAGGCGTAAGGGGGTTAGCCGGGGATGTGCCGGGGTCTTGTATTTCTGCGAGTCATTTCTCGCGGCTGACCGAGGCGTGTGCTCTGAGGGGAAGTAGGTGCCGAAATCCACGAGCCGCGCCGCGTCGTGCCTCCTATCCTTCGTGGGCGCTTGCGCGTCATTGCCCACGGCGTCGAAACCCTCGAGACAACAGCAAACGCCCACGGCGCAAGCGATGCAGGAGGCGAAGGAGGCGCCGGGCTTTCACGAGGCGTTCAACGAGGGCGGCGGCGGGGGGACGATCCTGGAGAGGCTCGTGGCGCTCATGCCGCTGGAGGACGGACGAGACATCAAGCGCTTCACGAAAGTTTTGGACGCTCTGGACCCGCGGCGCGAGGCCGTCGGCCGCGACGAAGACGACCGGGGCGTGGTGTGGCACGCGGTGAACCACGGCGACCACATCGCGTGCCAAATTTTGCTGGAGCGCCGCGGCTTCTCCCTCGAGGTCCTAGCGCGTACGGAGCGCGGCACGGGCTCGTCCCCCTACGAGCTCGCGCTCGCCGGCGGCAAGCGCCACGTGCTCGCGATCCTGAAGAAGCACGTGGCCCCGGAGCTCGAGGAGGTCGTCGACGCGCCGCCGATGATGAGCTCGTCCAACAGCTTCACGGACTTTGACGAGCTCTGGGCGCGGGAGGACGCCGCGGCCGCCGCGCCGACGAACGGCGGCTGCTGCTGCTGCTGCGACGACGCGGCGGACTAGGCGCGGCCGCGCGCGGGCGGGCTAAAGGCATAGAGCACGAGACTAGGCAGAGATTAGCGGCGGCGCGCGGCGGTCCCTCACTTGGGCGCGTGCGCCTTGACGTTCTGGCCGAGCCAGTCGAGGCCCTCGTAGAGGCCGTCGCCGGACGTGCCGCAGCAGGCCTGGATGTACCACTTGTGGGTGCGCAGGCTGTTGAGCTCGAGTTCCTGGACGAGCCGGGCCGGCGGCAGCGCGTTGGGCAGGTCCTGCTTGTTCGCGTAGATGAGCACGGTCGCGTCTCGCAGCTCGAACTGGTCCAGGAGCCCGTGGAGCTCGTCCTTGGCCATGGCGACGCGGTCCCGGTCGTTGCTGTCGACGACGAAGATGACGCCCTGCGTGTCGCTGTAGTAGTGGCGCCAGAGCGGCCGGATCTTGTCCTGGCCGCCGATGTCCCAGACCGTGAGCGTCAGGTTCTTGTACTCGATGGCCTCGACGTTGAAGCCGATGGTCGGGATCGTCGACACGACCTCGCCGAGCTTGAGCTTGTAGAGGATCGTCGTCTTCCCCGCCGCGTCGAGGCCGACCATGCAGAGGCGCGCGTCCAAGTTCATGAACTGGCTGAAGACGCTGTTCATCATGCTCATGATGAGGCCCATGGCCGCCCGGCGCGCGGCGCGGCGCGGCGCAGGAGCGGCGCGCGCGTCGCGGCGCGAGGACAGGGCGTCCGCGCGTCGGGTCCGGCGCGCGGATAGGGGAGACGACCGCGCGCGGCGCAGGCGGGTATGAATCAGCTATGAATTTTGGGCTGATGCTGGCGACGCGCAAACTGCTCGATGAATTCATTCACCTCGGCGCCTTTTCGGGTAATCGAGGCTAGTAGCCCCCGACGCGCGCGCCGAGCTCGGTCGAAGCGCGCCGACGCCTGTGAGTGGTCGACCAACATGGTGTTCATCCGCGACGACGGCATCGCCGCCCCGGAACTGGTGCCCGACCGATGGGGCCACTACAAGGAAAAGGAGGAGCCCCAGGCCGAGGAGCTGGGCATCAAGCAGAAGCACGTGTGGGAGCCGGGCTGGCGCATCATCAACGAGAAGCACCGCATCGCGGAGCTGGGCATCTCCGAGGAGGACATCAAGGAGCGCTGGTGGAGCCAGGAGCGCCTCAAGCTCCAGGGCATCGAGATGCCCAAGGCGCCGAAAGACCACCTGAACCGGCTCCGGACCAAGGGCATCGACCTCTTCGCGGAGCCCCGCGGGAGCCGCTACTCGCTCGGCGCGCCGCCGCCCTACGTGACGAACCCGCCCGAGGGGTCGCCCCTCTGGGACGAGCTCCAGAAGTTCAAGCGCGGCGAGCCCTCCTTCTACGACACGACGAAGATCGAGGGCATCGAGGGCAGCGGCACGCCGGGCATCTGAGGCGGGGCTAAGGGTGCCGACGCAGCGTTTTCGGGTGGAGGGGGGGTCGCGACATGACTTAGACGTGGCCGCTCCGACTTTTTTACAAAACGTCAACAATCACTTCACCTGGAGCGTTTTTTTTCAGCAGAAATCTGTTGGTGGCAGCCGCGCGATGGTGGGCTCGCCGCTGCAGCGGGCGGCCAGCCCCGTGTCGTCGACGAGCACGTGGTACGACTCGGAGCAGGCGCAGTCGGCCCTCGGCAAGACCTTCGCGACCATGGGCGTCGTGCTCGGCAGCCCGCGGTCGCCCGCGGAGGAGATGCCGTCGCCGCTGACGACGTCGGCCCCGAGCTGGACGGCGGCCTGCGCGCGCCAGTCGCCCGTCGTCGCGGCGACGCCGACGCGGTCGCCGGCGGGCGGCCGCGGCGCGCAGCGCGACGTCGAGGCGCCGCCGCCGGCCGCGTCGCCGCCGATCCACGACCGGGGCCGCGAGTTCCTCCGCAACAAGCAGTCGAAGCTCCGCGAGCTCGAGGGCCGGCGCGACCGCCGGCACGCGCGCGAGTGCACCTTCTCGCCCGCGCTCAAGGCGAAGCAGGACGCCGCGCCGCCGAGCCTCGGCCTCGAGGCGACGCTCGTCGAGCGCCGCGAGCGCCGCGAGCGCAAGTACGAGAGTTTGAGAGTAGAGCTCGCGGCGACGCACGCCGAGCGGCACCGGCCGACGCCGCGCATCAACGCGTCGTCGGCGCAGCTCGCGGCGCGCAAGTTCGCCGCGGAGCCCGACGTCGCCGTCCACGAGCGGCTCTACAGGGATCACGCGGCGTCGGAGCGGAAGAAGGCGCGGTCCGCGGACCGGTCGCGGACCCACGACGCCCGCGGCGCGAAACTCTTCGTGCCCGCGGTCGCGACGAAGCGCCGCGAAAGCCGCGAAAGCGACGGCCCGGACCGCTTCCTCCGGCTCTCGACGGCCGGCGCGGCGAAGATCGCCGCGGCGCGCGACGCGCCGCCGCCGGCGAGTAACGGCCGCGCGAGCGCGCTCTCGGGCACGTCCGCCAAGCTCGCGCGGAAGAAGCGCGCCGACGACGTCGTCCGCGTCCTCGGCGCCCTGCGGGACGGCGACGAAGGAGCCGCCGTCGGCCGATCGGACGTCGCGGACCTCTGCGTCGCGTACCGGCGCTGGCGCTTCCTCGGCTTCGACGCGTCGAGCGACGAGCACGCCTGGGCCGAGGCCTCGGCGGCGGCGCTCTGGCGCGCGCTCGGGTTCCGGGAGGCGGACGCGGTCGACGCGCGCGCCATCGCCGAGGCCGTCGGCGACCCCGGGCCCGGCGCTCCCGGCAGACGCGTCGCGGCCTTCGCCGGCGCCGTCGCGCGCCACGCGGCGGCGCTCCGCGCGACGGACGCGGCGCGGGACGCGCGGTCGAAGCACGCCGACGCCGAGTGCACCTTCTCGCCTCGGGGCGCGACGCCCGGGAGACGGACGGCCGCGCTCGCCGCGCGCGCGGACGCGCGCGCGTGGGGCCCCCGGGGCGACGACGCCGGGGACCGCGTCGCGACGATGCGGGCCAAGGAGGCGAAGGCGGCCGCGGCCCTGAAGCGCGAGCGGGAGCGCGCGGCCGCGCGCGACGCGCGCGAGTGCCGCTTCTCGCCGGCGATCACCGCGCTCGGCGCCGCGGCGCCCCGCGGCGACGCGCCCGCGCACGTGCGGCTCCACGCGGCGGCGCCGGACCTCGCGCACCGCCGCGGGGACCGCGACTTCGCCGGCGAGCTCGACGCCGAGTGCACCTTCGCGCCCCGGGTCAACGCGCGCGCGCCGCCGCCGCGCCGCGCGGCGCCGTCGCCGCGCGACGGCGACGCCTTCGAGCGGAGCGTCGCGCGGCTCCGCGAGGCGCGGTCGAAGCGGCTCCAGGACGCGGCCGAGGCGAGCAGGCCCGAGTACACGAACGAGTCCTACGCGCGCATGCGGCGCGCGCGCAAGCCCGAGCGCGACGCCGACGCCGCGGACGCGCCGCCGCCGCCGCCGCCGGAGGACGACGACGACGGCGGCGAGGACGAGGTCCCGCCGCCGCCGGCGTCGCCGCCCCAGCCGCCGCCGCCGGCGTCGGTGGCCTACGAGGCCCACGGCCTGTCCGAGGACGACGAGTCGCCGGAGCCGGCGCCGCCGCTCTTCTTCCTCGACGTCGCGACGGCGCCGGACGTGACGAAGCGCCTCGCCATCCACGACGACGACGACCCGGCCGCCGTCGTCGCCCGCTTCGCCCTCGAGAATTCGCTCCCGGAGGACAAGGAGCGCACGCTCCTCGCCGTCCTCGAGGGGCAGATCGCGCTCATCCGCGAGGCCGCCGGGGCCGCGACGGAGGAGGCGGAGGTCGAGGAGGAGGCGTTAAGCGCGGGGTTCTAGGGCGCGAAGCGACGGGGCGACGTCGATCGAGGGGGACTGGAGCATGCTGGACTCCGTCATACCGGCGCGAAGCGAGGGGCGTTCGAAGGGGGGACTAGAGCATGCTGGACTCCGTGACGGGCATGGACGACAGCGAGACCTCACGCTGGGCGTTCTGTTTGAGGAGCTGGCGGCGCTTCGCGACGACCTGCATGACGACGACGGTGGCGAGGGCCAGCACGGAGAAGCCCGCGATGGCGAGATTGGTCGAACCGCGATTCGGGCCCGGGCGCCGAGGCTTCTTCGTGGGTTCGGGCGTCGGGCTCGGCGCCGGGTTCGTCGGCTCGGGCGTCGGGCGAGGCGTCGGCGCGGGATCCGTCGGGCGAGGCGTCGGCGCGGGATCCGTCGGGCGAGGCGTCGGCTCCGGGTCCGCGGCGGCGGTCCCGCAGGGCGAGCAGTCGGCGCAGAGATCCCGCTGCGGCGGCGTGCCGTCGTCGCAATCCTGGCCGCGCTCCGGAGCGTAGCAGCCGTCGTCGACGCAGACCGCGGCCGTCGAGTCGCAGTCGCAGGCGAAGTCGCCCTCCGTCGGTTCGGGCGTCGGGCCCGGCGCGGCGCCCTCCGTCGGCTCGGGCGTCGGACCCGGCGCGGCGCCGCCGCCGCCCGAGGCCACGCACGTCGCGTACTCGACGAACGCGCCCTTGACGCAGCGCGTGATGCCCGACGCCTCGTAGCCCGAGTCGCAGGTCACGTGGCAGCCGTTGCCGCTGTAGAGCGTGTGGCCGGGCGCGCAGTAGGAGGACGCGTACGCGCCGTTGTCCGGGTGCGCGTCGACGGTGCACGTCGACGACTCGTGGAAGAAGGTGTCCATGTTGTCGAAGAGGTTGTTGAAGATGTTGCCCGTGACGACGTAGTAGTCCGTCATACCGCAGCAGGCGTGGTTCATGTCGTTGCCGCTCAGGTAGTCGTCGGACGACGTGAACGAGAGGAGCGCGCTCGACCCCTCCTGCTGGCTCAGGTCCGCGCGGAAGCAGAAGAGCGGGCCCGTCGTCGAGATGATCACTTCGTCGCCGTCGTCGCAGCGGTCCTTGGACCCCGCGGTTCCACAGGTGTAGTCGAAGATCTGCGTGTGGTAGTGGTACGTCGTCCCCAAATCGATGCCGTACTCGTCGGTCGTCGAATCGTCGTGCATATGACCACCGCAATCGTCGAGGAGCGGGGATGCGAAGCCCGGCGCGTCGTCGCCGAGGTAGCGGCCGTAGATGAGGTGGCCGTCGGCGCCGAAGCCGACAATGGGCGGGTGCGACGCCGTCGACGTGTAGTTCGAAGTGCCGTACAAGCACTGGTGCGTGTCACTGAACAAGTCGCCGTGGATGTGGGGCTGGCCCGCGCCCTGGCCGACGTGGCCGTTGCAGGGCGACGCCTCGCAAGTGGGCTGGTTCCAGACGCCGCGGTTGTTCTGCGTGACCCAGTTCTGCATGCCGTTGACCGTGATGCCGACGCCCGCGCCGTCGGGGAGGCCGTAGGCGCCGACGCCCGTGCCGTCGCTGTACGCGTACTCGACGGCCGCGTTGCCCGCCGTGCCGTCGAAGAGGTCGACGTTGTTCGTCCACGAGCCCTCGGGCAGGTCGACGACGTCGAGCGGGTACTGGAGGCTGTAGTAGCGGTCGACGGTGCGCGTCGGGTCGCCCGTGCAGTACGTCACGCCGTCGGACACGCCGAGCGGCCTGCGAGGGACGAGGTGTTTTTCTCAAGCCGGAACTCTCTCCGGACGCCGCGCGGGACGGGCTCGGCACGTTGTTGAGGTGCGGCTCGAAGACGCCGCCCTCGCCCGACGAGAGCAGGACGAGCCACTTGTCGTTGCAGAACGCGTACTTGATGCTGGGCCCCTTGATGACCTGTTCCAGGAACGCGCCGTCGCAGACGCCGTCCGTGCGCTGCGTGCAGTCCGACGTGCACGCGCCGCGGAAGCCCCAGTCCGAGACGTCCTCGGTGTCGCTCATGTCGAGGAACGAGATGCAGTTCGACTCGTCGCCGACGTCCGAGCGGAAGGAGCCGGACTCGCCGTCGACTGTCGGCGGGCCGCCGCCCTCGGCAGTGCACGTCGTGTACTGGTGCCGGCAGGTCGGCGCGCCGCAGTAGCCCCAGCCGCCCTCCTCCGTCGGCGCGTAGCACTCGGAGCTGCCGAGGGCGTTCGTGTTGGTCCACGTGCCGGCCTCGAGGGCTGCGTGCGCGAGAGCTGCGCCGGCGACCAGTCTCATGACGGCTGCTGCCATCGTCGTTCGGGCTGCTGCCGTCGTCGCTCAGACGGCCGCCGTCGTCGTTGTTCGGGCTGCCGTCGTCGTCGTTGGCGTCGCCCAGACCAATGAAACTCTTTCGAGAAGCAGGGCGCTTGTCTGCTCTGGATATTGAGTTCATGATGCCCATGTTGCCCATGTTCGTGAGAGCAGGATCGACGGTGGTACACGTCGACGAGCCATACCGGAGAGGCAGGATCGAGCGCAATGCGGGCGGCGCTGTTGGTGCTGCTGTGCAGCAGCGTCGCCTCGGCTCTGAAGCCCGGAACCGCCGCGCTGTTGGTGCTGCTGTGCAGCAGCGTCGCCTCGGCTCTGAAGCCCGGGGCCGCCTTCTTGGACGCCGCGCGCCTGCGGACGAACTCGGCGGCGCGGGAGGCCTTTGCGGCCGAGGTGGCGCTGCCGAAGCCGGACAGCCTCAGGCTCCTGGTGGCCATCGCCGCCGAGGAGCATCCCGAGATACCCGTCATCGCCTGCACGGAGCGCGTGCGCTGCGCGCTCGACGACCTCACGGCGCGCGCGACGACGCGCGCGCGGCTCGAGAGCCTCGTGGGCGGGACGGAGGCGGACGCCGCGGCCGTCGCGCGCGCGGTCGCCGCGGCCATGTATGGGGACAACGACCAGGGCCCCGGCGACGACGAGAACGCCTTCTTCTCCGGCAACGCCGCGGACTACTACGACCCGCGCAACTCGTTTCTGGACGAGGTGCTCGCGCGGAAGACGGGCATCCCCATCACGATGAGCCTCGTCTTCGCCGAGGCGTGCGCGGGCGCGGGCGCGAAGATGCACCTGCTCAACAGCCCCGGCCACGTCCTCGTCTGCCCGGACGCGCCGGACGAGACGTTCCTCGTCGACGCGTTCAACGGCGGCGCGATCCTCGACAACGCGCGGGGCCAGGTCGCGGGCACGGCGCCGCTCGTCGGGCTGTCGCTCGCGGCGCGGCTCCTGCGGAATCTGCGCCTGATCTACGAGCGCTCCGAGTCCTACGACCCCGTGCGCCTCCTGGGAGCCGCGGAGCGCATGCTCCTCGTCGCGGACGAGGACGTCGACGTCGTCGCGGTGCCGCTCGAGGAGCGCGCGTTCTGCCGCGTCACCGTCGGCGTCTGCATCCTCGCGCTGCGCGACGAGTCGCGCCGCGACGAAAGCTTTTGTCTCATTTCCGACGCGGCGCGCAACTACGGCCAGCAGGGCAAGGTCCTCGACACGTTGCTGGCGGACGAGTGGTTCAAGGGGGGGGGCTAGGTAATTGTTTATCGTGCGCACGGGGTGACTTTCGATGAACCTTGGCGCCTGGGAGTGCCTGGGGGGTTGCGTTCGCCGAATGCCGCAGAGTAGGAGCGCAACATGGCGTCCATTGACAAATGCATCGAGCCATCGGGGACCAACCAATGTCTTCTTAATGGTATTGGCATCGGAGATGGCGTGGTCATTCAAGGTCTCGTGAAGCGCCCCGAGCTCAACAGCCAGAGCGGCGTCGTCAAAGCCTTGTCGCAGGAGCTCGGCCGCGTCGTCGTCGAGCTCGACGAGGGCGACGGCGGCGCCCCGGCCGCGGTCAAGGTCAAGCCGTCGAACGTCGAGGTCGCCGAGGAAGCGACGCCCCTCGACCTCGCCTCGTTACTGTTGGACGCGCAGGCGCAGGCGCTCGCGCACCCCGACACGTTCGCGGCGCCCTCGGCGAGCGCGCTCGCGCTGCTGCCGCGGCCGGGCATTGATCTGGTCAAGGTCTGCGACGGGATGGAGCGATTCTGGGTCCTCGTGCGTTCCGTCGACGGCGATCGCGTCACGGGCCGCGTCGACAACGAATTGGTGGGCGGGCAGGCCTACGCGAACCACGGCTCGGTGATCTCCTTCGAGAAGCGGCACATCTACCGGCTGATGGTCTACCTCGAGCCTCTCGAAGAGGCGTGGAAGACGGCCCGCTACCTCGGCCAACACGAGGCCGCCAAGTCCTATTTCAAGGAGCAGATCGACGGCGACGTCCCCGAGGGGCTGGGCGTCCCCGTCGAGAGCATCGCCGAGGTCGAACGCTGGTTCGCGGCGAACCCGGACGCGCTCGCGGGCACGGGCCTGGCGGTCGACGACGTCGCCTGCCACCACCTGTATCCACGGTCGAAGGTGCCCAACGGGGACTCGATGTACTACGACAACCTCATGAACCTGTGCGTTTCGACGCGCGTCGCGGCCCTCGCCCTGGACGACTAGGCGTCCGAAACGTAACTCGCGCGACCTAGGTCCATTCCCCGACGTCCGCCACGGGCTGTCCGAAATGTAACTCGCGACCTAGGTCAATTCCTCGACGTCCTCCACGGGCTCGAGCTCGCCGATGACCTCCGTCCGCGTCGACGACGCCAGGCCCCCGCCGTCGTCGAGGTCGTCGTTGCCGACGGTCCAGTCGAGGGGCCAGTTGCCGTTGCGGTGGAGGCGGATGCACTCCGCGAAGTCGCCGTCCATGACCGCGTGCGACATGGCCGCGAGCTGCGTCGCCGCCGCCGCGTGGCCGTGGACGAGCGCGAGCTGGCGCGGCGTGAGGCCGCGGCGGTCGCGCGCCGTCGCGTCCGCGCCGGCGGCGAGGAGCGCGGCGACGGCCGCGCGCGCGCCGACGCGCGCGGCCGCGTGGAGCGGCGTCAGGCCGTCGCGGTCCGGCGCGTCGAGCACCGCCGCCCGCGCGGCCCGGTCCCGGGGCGCCAGGGCCGCGAGCGCGTGGCACGCGTTGCCGTGGCCGCGGTGCGCGGCGTGCCAGAGGGGCCCCCGGCCCGCCGCGTCCGCGCGCGCGGGGTCCGCGCCCGCGCCCAGGAGGCAGCGGCACGCGTCGGCGTCGCCGGAGGCCGCCAGCACCTGGAGGCACGTCGTCCCGTTGGCGCCGTGGCGCGCGTCGACGTCCCGCGGCCGGCCCGCGACGAGCGCCGCGAGCGTCGCGAGGTCCGGCGCGCCGCACGCGCGGAGGAGGGGCGTCGCGGGCCCGCCGTCGATGGGCGCGAGCGCGTCCGCGCCGGCGTCGAGGAGCGCGGCGACGGCGCCCGCGTCGCGCTGGGCGACGGCGAGCGCGAGCGCGCGGTCGAGTAAGGCCGCGTTCGTCCGCCGCGCGGGCGCCGCGCCGTCGCCGCCCGCCGCCAGGGCCCTGGCCGCGTCGAGGGCGACGGCCACGGTGCGCAGCTCGGCCTTGGCCGACGCGTGGTCGAAGCAGGCGCGCTCCAGCGCCGACCGGCCCAACGAGTCCGCGGCCGTCGCGTCCGCGCCGGCCGCGAGGAGCGCGTGCGCGACGGCGACGTGGCCCCGGGCCAGCGCGGCCATGAGCGCCGTGGAGCCGTCGGGCCGCGGCGCGTCGACGTCGAAGACGGCGACGCGCTGGTCCAGGAAGATGCGCACCGCGTCCAAATCGCCCGTCTCGACGGCGACGAAGAACGGCGTCGTCGCCCTTTGCGGCGGCGGCGGCGGCGGCGCGTCCGGCGATTGCACCGGCGCCGCGTCGCCCCGGGGGAGCACGTCCGCGCCGTCGAAGAGGGCGCCGTCGCAGGGGCCCAACGGCTCGACGCCCCGGAGGAGCAGGAGCTCCGCGAGCGCGTGGCGGCGCCGCGCGACGGCGACCTGTGTGGAATTCAACCACTGGTTTGGGTGGTCCTGACCAAACTTCAGAACTCTCTAGCTCGGTCAAATCGAAGTCGATTCGGCTGATTTTGGGACGAATCGATTGCTCTCGTCGAGCTCTCGAAGCACGGCAGAAGAACTCGTGTCGAAACGGTCGCATACGCTCACATTGAAGTCGGGTTGAAGATTCGAATTCCACACAGACGGCGACGCGGAGCAGCGGCGCGCTGTCCTCGGGCCGCGGCCGCGCGGTCGCGTCGGACCGCAGCACGACCTCCGCCGCCCGCGGCTGGCATTTCGCGGCGGCGGCGGCCAGCGCGCCGTGGAGGTGCGCCGGCGCGGGCCCCGCGGCCGGCGACGTCGCCGCGAGCGCGAGCGCGGCCTCCAAGACGTCGTCGCGGCCCGCGGCCGCGGCGCGCGCGAGCACGGTCTCGCCGCCGGGCCCCGCGGCGTCGATGGCGAAGCAGCCCCGCGCCACGAGTCTCAAAGCGCGGTCGAAGTCGCCGTCGCCGATGGCCGCGCGCATCGCGTCGAGGCGCCGCGCCGCGCGGCCCCGGCCGCGCGCGGAATCGCGCGGCGTCCGCGCGCCCAAATCCCTCGCGCCGCTGTCGGCGCCCGCGCCGAGCAGCAGCGACGCCACGGCCCCGTCGTCGGCGCGCGCCGCGCGGTGCAGCGGCGCCGCGCCCGCCGCGTCCGCCGCCGCTAAAAGCCGGCCCCGCGCGCCGTCGTCGCCCGCGTGGAGCGCGACGAGGACCGCGGCCTGTGTGGGAACCAAATCTTCAACCCGACTTCAATTTGCGCGTAATCGAACGATTTGGACCAGGCTCTTTCACTGTGCTTCGAGAACTCGACGAGAGCAATCGATCCGTCCAAAAATCAGCCGAATCGACTTCGATTTGATTGAGATCGAGAATTCTCAAGTTTGGTCAGGACCCCCCAAACCAGTGGTTGGTTTCCACACAGACCGCGGCCGCGTCGTAGGCCCGGTGGCTCGCGGCGACGTGCAACGGCGTGCGGTGGTGCGGGTCCCTCGCCAGCGCCCCGAGCGACTGGTCGCCCTGGGCGAAGCGCAGCAGCAGCGCGAGCGCCTCGACGCGGTCCGCGGCCGCCGCGGCGTGGAGCGGCGACGCGAGCGGGGCCGGCGCGCCGCCCGCGGGCGCCGGCGCGTGGACCGCGCGCCGCACGGCGTCCGCCGCCGCGCCGTCGTCGCCCTCGGGCCCGTCGAGCAACACGCGGAGCGCCCGCGCGCCGCGCGGCGCGGCCGCGGCGGCCGCGCGCGCGAGCGCGGACAGGAGCGGCGGCGCCTCGAGGTGGCCGCCGCCGCGGCCCCGCCGGTCGCCGCCCGTCGCGGCCCAGAGCGCCGCGCCGTAGTGGTCCCGCGCGTCGCCCGGCGCCAATCCCTTGGGCCGCTCCGCCGCGTCCAACAGGCCCGACGACGGCTTCGCCGCGTCGCCGCCGCGCGCGAGAACGAGCGCGAGCAGGTCGTCGTCGCCGACGTCGACGGCCAGGGCGAGGAGCGCGGCGGCGCCGGCGCCGTCGGGCGACGGCACGCAGCCCCGGCGCAGGAGCGCCGCGGACCCGATGGGCCCGAGCACGCGGCTCCCGGTTCGCGCGGCCTCGTCGACGACCAGGTCGACGCCGGCGCTGTCGCCGTCGCGGGCCGCCGCCTCAAGCGCCGCGGCGCCGTCGCCCGCGTCGAGGCGGAAGTTGCCGCGCGCCGCGAGCTCGGCGACGCGCGCGTAGTCGCCGCCGTCGACGGCCGCGCGCATGGCGCGCAGGCGCACCTCGACGGCGCGGCGCCGCTCGCCCGGCGGCCGCGCGTCGCCGTCGCCGCCGTCGCCGCCCGCGCCCTCGCCGCAGACGTCGACGGGCGCGCGGCCCGCGGCGTCGGGCGCCGCCGCGACCGCGCCGCAGCGGAGCAGCGCGGCGACGGCGGCGACGCGCGCGGCCCGCGCGGCCTCGTGGAGCGCCGTGGCGCCGCCGTCCTCCGGCGAAACGCGGTCCACGGCGCAGGGCGCGCGCGCGAGCGCCGCGACGACCGACGCGGAGCCTACCGCCGCGGCGATCGCGAGCGGCGCGCGGCCCCGGCCGTCGCCCGCGACGTCCGGGTCCGCGCCGACGCGCAGGAGCGCGAGCACGGCGTCGCGGCGGCCCGCCGCCGCGGCCGCGCCCAGGGCCGTGAGCTCGTGCGCGGCCGCGCCGGTCCGCACATTCGCGGCGACGCGGCACCGCCGGTTCAGGTCCACGGGGCTCCGCCCGTGGTGCAATAAAATGGCCTTGAGCACCTCGGCGGCGTCGCAGCGGCCGCCGGGCCGCGCCGATTGGACGTCGTCGACGACGTCGAGCTCGCCGTCGCTCCCCGGGGTTTTCTCGAGGTAGTCCGCGGCGTCCGCGGGCGGCCACGCGCCCGCCGCGAGGAGCAGGGGCGTGCGGCCGCCGCAGTCCGGCCGCTCCGGGTCCGCGCCGCGGGCGAGCAGGAGCGCCGCGGCCTCGCCGCGCGTCCGGCCGCCGCCGACGAATTTCGCCGCGCCCGCGGCGCCGCCGCCGCCGCAGACGACGTGGAGCGGCGTCTCCGCGCGCGCGTCGTCGGCGGCCCGCGCGTCGGCGCCGGCGTCGAGGAGCGCCCGGGCGAGGCAGCGCTCGCCCGGGTCGTCGCCGCTTTCGTCGCCCGCCGCGCGCGGCGACCCGGGCGGCCGCGGGCAGCCGTCGAGCAGCGCGCCCGACCGCGCCGCGGCGAGGAGCGGCGTCTCGCCCGCGGCGTCGGCCCTGTTCGGGTCCGCGCCCGCGTCCAGCAGCCGCTTCGCCGCGGGCCCGTGGCCCAGGCGGCAGGCGACGAGCAGCGCGGTCACCGCGCCGTCGCGGAGGCCCGCCGGCTCGTCGACGACGTAGTTGCCCCGGTCGACGTAGCGCAGCGTCGCCGGCTCGTCGCCGCAGAGCACGGACGCGCGGAAGCGGCCCAGCGTGTGGGCGATCTGGGCGTCGCCGGCCTCGAGGGCGATGGACAGCGGCCGCTTCGGGCGCTCCGCGCCCGACGGCGTGCTCGCGAGCGGGCCGTCGCGCGGCCGCGACGCGGACGCGCCGAAGCGCAGGAGCGCCCCGACGGCGCCCTTGGCGTGGGCCGCCGTCGCCACGCGCAGGGCCGTGTGGCCCGAGTCGTCCGTGGCGTCGACGTCGAGCATCTCCGCGAGCGCGTCGCCGCCGGCGCCCGCGTCCGAGCCCGCGGACGACCGCCGGCCGAGGCCCAGCAGCAGCTCGACGTTCTCGGGCCGGTCCGCCTCGGCGGCGTAGAAGAGGGCCGTCCGTCCCCGGGCGTCGCGCTTCTGGAGCGACGCGCGCGACCCCGACCGGCGCTTGAGGCCCGCGCGCTTGAGGCCCGCGTCCGCGGCGAGCTCGGGCGCGCCGAGGAGCGTCCGCAGGACGCTCGACGCCTCGGGGAGCGCCGCCGCGAGCATGAGGGCCGTCGCGAGGCGCGGGCCGTGGGGCGCGTCGACGTCGGGCCGCTTCCGGCCCCCGTCGGGCGCGCCGCCGGCCTCGGGCGCCGCCAGAAGCGCGGACACGAGCCGCGCGTCGCGCGCGTCCGCGGCGGCGACGGAGAGCGGGCTCCGGCCCTTGGCGTCCATGGCCAGCGGGTCCGCGCCGTGGGCCAGGAGCAGCGCGCAGACGTCGCGCGCGGACGCGGCCGTCACGGGCACCGCGCGGCTCCGCGCCGCGGCCTCGGCCGCGCGGCAGAGCGCGGAGCACCCGAGCGCGTCGCGCGCGTCCACGGCGCAGCGGCCCGTGGCCAGCAGCATCTTCGCGAGGTGCGTGTCGCCCCGCGCGGCGCAGGCCATCAGCGGCGTCCGCTTCTCCGGTCCGTGGTCCGCGTGGTTCGCGTCCGCGCCGAGCGTGAGCCAGAGCTCGGCGCCCTGGCCGTCGCCGTTGGCGCAGCAGCGCAGCAGCGCCGTGAAGCGGTCGTCGGGCGCCGCGGCGCAGACGTCGGCGGGGAAGTTGGCGAGCGCCGTGCCCGCGTTCCGCGGCAGCTCGCCGTCGCGGATGACGCTCCGGACGCTCCGCGCGACGTCCGCGGCCGACGACGCGTCGAAGGCCGCGGACCCGAGGCTCGCGCGGAGGTCCCGCGTCGCCGCGACGAGCTGGCGCGCGCGCGCGGACGCGTCGGCCTCGCCGGCCGCGGCCGCGCCGACGTCCGCGACCGCGTCGCGCTGCAGCAAGGCGGCGACGCACGCGACGTGGCCCGCGCGCACCGCGTAGACCAGGGGCGGCACGCCGTCGCCGTCCGCCGCGTCGACGACGGCGCCCGCGGCGGCGAGGGGCGCGACGACGGCCGCGCGGCCCCGCTCCGCGGCGAGGTGGAGCGGCGTCTTTTTGGTGAGCGGGTCCGACGCCGTCGCCGTCGCGCGGCACGTGCACCGCGTGCCGTCCTCGGCCTTGGCGAAGGCGCCGCCGGCGAGGGCCATGACGACGGCGCCGTGGCCCGCGACGGCCGCGGCCTCCAGAGCCGTCTCCGGGTGGAGGCCGAAGCGCCGGTCCGGGTGCGCGAGCAGCGCGCTCCGCGCGTCGCCGTCGGCCTCGCCCGCCGCGAGCTTCGCCAGGGACCGCAGGAGCGCCCGGGCGATCTCCGCGGACCCGCGGCGCGCGCAGCAGAGCAGGGGCGTCTCCCGCGCGCCGAAGCCGTCGGCCAAGGTCGGGTCCGCGCCGGACGCCAGCAAAGCCCGCGCGGCGTCGAGCGCGTCCGCGCGCACGGCCCCGAGCAGGGGCGTCTCGAAGGCCTTCTCCGAGTCGCCGAGCTCGGGCCCGTTCGCCGCGGCGCCGAGGCCCACGAGCGCGCCGATGACGTCCGCGCGGCCGCTCCGCGCGGCCGCGAGCAGCGCCGTCACGCCCCTGCCCGCGGCGTCGCGCGCGACGTAGTCCGCGGGCAGGCGCCCGCGCCGCAGGGCCAGCAGCGCCACCTCGACCTTCGCCGGCGCCGACCGCAGCGCGTCCTCCAAGTCGCCGCCGTCGCGCCGCTTCTCGCGCGCCTCGCGGAGCGGTTCCAGGAGCGTGTCCAGGTCCGTGTTCGCGACGCGGGTGAGCAGGTCGAACCAGGCCGTGACGCCCTCCTGCGTGAGGCAGTCGAGCACGCGCCGCTTGCCCGACGCCGCGTTGAAGTCGCTGAGCGCGAGGCAGTGCGGCCGGCCGGGCTGCGGCGCGCGCAGCACCGTCGTGCCCGCGGTGATCGTCATCTCCTTGCAGTACTTGTCGCGGTTCGTCTCCGTCATGTGCGTGTTGTCGAGGCGCAGCGTCAGGTTCTCCAGGTCCGCGGCGACGCGCACCCACTTGCCGCCGGCGACGAGCGACCCTTCCCGCGTGTAGACGTAGGCGTAGCCGCTGTGCTTCAGCGAGATCTCCTCGCTGTCCTCGCGGGACCGCATTGTTTTGTGGCGCTCTCGGCCCGCGCGCCACCGCGGCGGCCGCGGCGCGCCGGGCAGGCAAGCGACGCGGTGCGAACGCCGGCCGCTCGGGTGCGTCGCGCGGCGCCGCGCCACAAACAGAGGCTAATGCCTGGCCTTGGCCGAGCTTTTTTTACCGCAATTCACAAAAGATCAACGAAGCGACGTTGACCAAGTTATTGAACTTCCTCGTCATGATGCGAGATAAACGTTCGCTTCGAGCAATGAGGCTGCGGCGCATCGCCGCGCTCGCGTCCTTGCTCCACATTGCGCAAGGATTCCACACACCACCCAAGCGGACACTGATGCCGCAATTGCACGCCTCCGAGGCGAAGCGCGACCTGCCGGCGCCCGCCTACCTGCTCGGCGCGTCGGCGCTCTGGGCCACCTACCCGTCGACGATCAAGTGCCTGTTCGCCGCGCCGGGCTCGGCGATCAGCCCGGGCGAGGCGACGCTGCTGCGCTTCGTCGTCATGGCCGTCGCGACGTCGTCGGCGCTGCCCGCGGCGCCCGTCGACGACGCGGCGCCCGCGCCGCTGGCGGACCAGCTCGAGCGGCGCGTGCCGAGCAGCGTCTACGTCGCGGCGCTCGAGCTGGGCGCGCTCGGGCTCGCGGGGTCCGCGTCTCCCGCGTCCGTTCCGAAAGCCGCGCTCGACGCGCGCTTCGTAGGACGCTCTGCAACACGGCGGGCCTGGCGCGGATCCCGGCGCTCACCGGCGCCGTCGTGCTCACGTCGCTCAACGTCTGGACGCCGCTCATCGCCGCGTGCGCCGGCGCGACGGCCGCGGAGCGCGCCGTCGACGCGACGACCTGGGCGCTCTGCGCCGTCGCGCTCGCCGCGAGCGCCTACGCGCTCGTCCCCGATGCATCCGCGAACGTCTTCGAGGTCCCCGCCTTCGGCGCCGGCGAGCTCGGCTGCCTCGCGGCGTCCTTCTTCTTCGCGGCGGCGAAGGTGCGGCTGTCGTCCCACCTGAAAATCCACGACGCGGACGCGCTGACGTCCGGCCGCGTCGTCGCGCAGTGCGGGTTGGCCGCCGCGGGCCTGGGCCTCGCCGACGAGACGAACGCGCTGCACGAGCTCCTGCCGAGCGAGCGCGGCGGCCTCGGCGTCGGGCTCCCCGCGGTGCTCGGCGAATCGGAGGCGTGGCTCGCGGGGCTGAGCGGGCCCCAGCTGTTCTGGGTCGCCGCGAGCGCGCTGCTCTCCGGCGCGGGCGCGCTCTTCTGCCAGAGCCGCGGCCAGGCGCGCGTCCCCGCGCCGACGGCCCAGCTCTACTTCTCGACGCAGCCGATCTTCGTCGCGCTCTGGGCCTTCGCGCTCCTCCGGGAGCCCGTCACGCGCCACGAGGTCGCCGGGGGCGCCGCGCTCCTCCTCGGCTTGGCCGCGGCGCGACGCGGGGCACAGGTCAATGGTTAGGCCGAGCCGCCGAGGAGCTCCTCGCGCGGATCTCGGCGCGCCGCGGGGCACAGGTCAATGGTTAGGCCGAGTAGGAGCCGCCGAGGAGCTCCTCGCGCTGCTCGTTGTAGTGGCCGAGGGTCATGAGGTGGTGGGGCTTGCGGAGCTTGCGGATGGCGCGCATCTCGCAGCGGCGGACCCACTCCTTCGACTCGGCGCAGGACGCGGCGACCTGCGCGGGCGTGCAGGGCACGCCGTCCTCGAGGCCGTAGCGGAGGGAGATGACGCGCTTCTCGTCGGCGTCGAGGTCGTCCATGGCCGCGTGGAGGTCCTCGTGGAGGAGCGCGAGCTCGACGGCGGTCTCGCCCGTCGGCTCCTTGGACGCCAACGTGTCCTCGAGCTTGAGCTGGCGGCCGACCGCGCGCGCGGGCGCGGCCGCGGGCCGCGCGGACGACGTGCGCCGCTTGCCGTCGGCGGCGCGCTTGCCCGCGGCGCGGTTGAAGTTCTGCTCCGAGCCGCCGCGCGCGGGCGCGCGGCCCCGCGGCGACTCCGTCGACACCGTGTCGCCCTGGCGCGCGGCCGCGCGGACCTTGCGGAGCTTCGCGGGCGTCATCTCCAGCAGCTCCGCGAGCTCGCCGTCCGACGGCTCGCGGCCGTGCGCCGCCGTGAAGTCGCGCGTGCCGCGCTTGAGCTTGGCGAGGTCCTGGTGCACGTGCATCGGCAGCCGGATGAGCCGGCTCTGGAACGCGACGGCCCGCAGGATGGCCTGCTGGATCCACCAGCAGGCGTAGGTCGAGAACTTGCAGCCCCGCGCGGGGTCGAACTTCGTCGCCGCGCGCATGAGGCCCAGCGAGCCCTCCTGGACGAGGTCGCTGAGGCCGAGGCCCAGGCCCGTGTACCGCTTCGCCACGGACACGACGAGGCGCATGTTCGTCGCGACGAGGGCCTGGCGCGCGGACCGGCCGTCGCGGAGCGCCTTCGTGAGCGCGCCCACGGAAGACGCGTTCGCGCGCGCGGCCCACTCCGCGCGGAAGTCGTCGGACGTGATGCCCATGAGCTCGTCCTCGAGCTCGTTCGTGCCCTTGAACCGCTTGAGCAGGTCGCCCTTGCCCTGCTCCGTCAGGATCGCGTCGCGGACGGCCTCGAGGCGCTCGAGCTCGACGGCGAGGGCGCCGAGGACGCGCTCCTCGCGCGCGTCCAGGAGCTTGCTGTCGAAGAGCATGTCCATGGAAGATTTCCGCGCCGCGCGCCGCGCGTCCGTCGTCTGCGGCGCGGGCTCGCCGTCGTCGTAGCGGCCGACGATGATGGGGTTCTGGCCCCGCGCGCGCTTCCGCGGCGCCTCGGCGACGGCCGCCTCGAGGAGCTTCGTCGCGAGCACGACGTCGTCGGGCCGGAGCTCCTCCCGCTCGATGACCGTGCTCCGCAGGGGCGCTTTGGTTCTCGGCGTGGCGATGGCGCGGAACTGGAGCGCCGAGGACGGGTGGAGGAGGAGCGTGAGGACGAGGGCGCGCAGCGCGACTTGGATCATTTTGGGCGAAAAACGGGGTCCCGATGCCGATGCGAGCCTGTTGCGGTTTTGCGCGCGGATTTTTTCGCACGCGAGTGCTGCGCTGCGCTCTGGAGGTTGGGAGAGCGCTTCCGTGAGTGCTGGCGACGGTGTTGGTCGCTTTTTGCGCGCGCGCAGCAGGCGGTCACGGTGACGAGATGCGGCAAGCGCTTCCTCGAGCTTGAGCCCGCCGGATCGCAGCCAAGCTCTGGCCGGGGTGGCATTCTTGAAGGGCAGATGTTGCGCGAGCGTCGCGCCCACCTGGCGTCCCAAGACCGACCCAGCTCCTCCCGGAGGCCGCCAGGCCACAAATCGCAGTCGGACGCAGCGGACCCCGGCCTGCTGGGAGCCGAGCAGGAGCCAGAACACGCGCGCCTCCGCGGCCGCGGCCGCTGGACGCTGCTGGACGCCGTCGGACGCGGACCCAGGACTCGAGCCGGTCGCCCCGGGACTCGCTTTCGGCGCCGCACACGCGCAGGGTACCAGTCTCGGACGCGGCGGCGCGATGGGACCCGTTTGGCCTCCTTTGCAGTGGCAATTCTCGACCCCCGGCCAAGCGGAGAGAGCGGCATGGTCCTTCCAAGAGTGGAGGCATGAGCTCATGACCAGCTTAGCGCGATGGCAGCTGCTCATGACCAGCTCTTAGCGCAATGGCAGCGTCGCGCATCGTCATCGCCTTGGACTGCGACTGCTTCTACGCCCAGTGCGAGGTGCTGCGGACGCCGGCGCTGCGCGGCAAGCCCGTGGGCGTGCGGCAGAAGATGCTCGTCATCACCTCGAGCTACGAAGCGCGAGCCTTCGGCATCAAGAAGGGCGACAGCCTCGCCGAAGTCAGACGCAAGTGCCCGGAGATCACGATCTGCGACGGCGAGGACCTGACCTTCTACACGGAGACGTCGAACCGCTGGCGCGCGTTCGTCGAGGCGCACTGCAAGGGTTGCGCCGTCGAGCGGCTCGGCCTCGACGAGCTCTTCGTGGACGCGACGGCGATCGTCGACAAGCGGCTGCGAGAGGGGGCCGCGGCGCCGCACACGTCGCCCGCGTGCCACGCCGCGGGCGAGGCCGGGCCGGAGCCGGCGCGCTACGCGGCGGCCGCCGCGTTCTGCGAGGACCTGCGCGCGCGCACGCGCGACGCGCTCGGCCTCGAGACGAGCGGCGGCGTGAGCTCGAACAAGCTGCTCGCGAAGCTCGCGACAAGGCCGCGTCCGTTTGACGTCGCGCGACCGGGAGAAAACGACCGTAGGTCGGTTCGTGGCACAAGCCCTACCAGCAGACGACGCTCGCGCCGACGGCCGACAACGTGCGGCTCGCGCTGCCGGACGACTTGGACGTCCGGAAGATCACGGGCGTCGGCTTCCGCGCCGCCGAGGCGCTCGCGTCGCTCGGCGTCCGCGCCGTCGGCGAGCTCCGGGATCTGCGGTCGGGCGACGGCGTCCTGGACGACGCGGCCGTCGCGCGGTTCCGCGGCCTCGCGCGCGGCGTCGACGACGACCCCGTCAAGCACACGGGCAGGGCCCGGGCGGTCGGGGTGGAGCAGAGCTTCTGGCAGCGCCGCCTCGACACCGGCGACGCGCGCGCGACGGCCGCGGCGCTCGACGAGCTCGCCGCGAAGCTCGTGCGGAAATTGCGCGTCGACCAGGCGTCCGGCGGCGTCCGCGCCGCGGAGACGGTACAGGTCTCGACGCGCAAGGCGCCGGCCGACGACGGCGCGCCGCGCCGCGGGCTCACGTCGAACCTCGCCGAGGGGCCGGCGGCGGCGCCCCCGTCGGCCGCGCCGCGCCGCGAGTCCAAGTCCGCGCGCGCGACGTTCGCGCTGCCGCGCCTCGACGAGTCCAACGCCGCCGCCGTCGCCGCGAAACTGCGGCGCGCCGCCGAGCCCCTCCTCGCTCAGCTCCACGCCAAACCCGCGAGCCTCGTCATCCTCTCGCTCGGCGTGGCGTTCAAGGCCGAGATCGCGGGCGCGCGCGGCTCCGGCGACATCGGCGCGTTCTGCCGGAAGCCCGCCGCTGCGGCTGCTTCCGCCGCCGCCGCGCCCGCGCCGCCCGCGCCGCCGCCCGAGGAGCGGTACGCGGCGCCGTCCGGCGCGGACGTCGACGCCTCCGTGTTGGCCGAATTGCCGAAGGACCTCCGCGAGGCCGTCGAGGCGCAGATGCGGCTCGACGCCGCCGTCTCGCGCAAGTCGCCGCCGGCGAAGCGCGCCGCCGCGGCGCCCCGCGCGTCGCCGCCGCCGAAGCGGCCAAAGTCGACCATGGCCGCCTTCCTCGCGAAGCCGCCAAGGCCGCCCGCGGCGCCGCGGCCGCCCGACGGCGGCCTCGACCGCATCCTCGAGATGGGCTTCGGCCGCGCGCGCGCCGAGGCCGCCCTCGCCGCGGCGGGCGGCGACGCGGCGCGCGCCATCGAGACCCTGCTCACGAGTTAGCGCGCTACGCCCCTGACGACGTACTCGACGAGCACCCGGGGCCCCTCGTCGTAGCCGTAGAGCGGGAGGCTCCGTTCCGCGGCCGGCGCGTCCTCCGCCGCGCCCGGCCGCGCGAGGACCGTCGCCCCGGCCATGGCGACGCGGTCCGCGTAGGGCTTGCGCTTCAGGTCGACGCCGAAGCCCGCGCAGACGAGGCGCGTCTCCGCGTCGCGCGCCGCCAGAGCGACCAGCAGGTCGTCGAGGACCTTCGGCCGGCTGCTCACGCCGCGGATCGCGCAGTAGAGCACGGTGTAGGGCGAGAGGTCGACGTCGCGGCAGTCGGCGTTGAAAAAGGCGACGGGCGGCGCCGCCGGGTAGGCCGCCTCGAAGCGCCGCCTCGCCGCCTCGGCGACGCCGTGGCTCCGGGGGCTCAGCTCGACGCCGCGCGCCGACGCGCCGAGCGACGCCGCGGCGAGGACGAAGGACCCGGCGGAGGAGCCCAGGTCGAGGAGCGCGTCGGCCGGGCCGAGGTCCAGGGACCGCGCGATGGCGATCGCGCTCGCGGCGTCGAGCTCGTTGTTCGCCGGGTCGAGCCCGCTCGGCGCGTAGAGCGTCTCGAACTCCCGGCGGCTCTCGGCGTTGAAGGCCTCCCAGCCGGGCGCGCCGTGGTCGCACTTCGTCGACCGGCCCAGCGCGCCCGACGCCTCGAGGGCGCGCGCCGCCGCCGCGTCGTCGGCGCTGATCTCGAGCCAGCGCACGGGCACGGCGCCGGAGGCCAGCGTCTTGCGCGCCTCCTTGCTGCACTGCACCGTGCGCACGAGGGCCGCGTCGAGCGCCATGGCGTCGATGCTTGCGGCGAGAGCCAAGACTTTGAGCATAAGACACACAGCTCAGAGCTGCTCGCAAGACACACACAGCTAGAGCTGCGCGCAGGTCCCAATCGCCTCGGGTTGTTCACCGTCGCTGCATCTTTCATGCATCGTCGACGTTGCCTTTCGCCTGAGCATCGATGGGCGCCGGGGGACGCAGCCCATGATGTGGCGGTTCGCGACGCTCTTGGCCTGCGCGGTCGCGTCGGCGCTCGCGGCGCCGCAGGGCCACATCCCGAACACGGCGTCGAAGCACGGCGAGCTGAGCATCTCCGACATGTTCCGCGCCGAGGTCGTCGACGGCGTCGGCTGCTGGTGGGAGGGCGACGGCTGGGACAACGTCGTCGAGTGCTGCGGCTGCGACAAATGCGACAAGTGCGTGCGCCCTTCGTCGCTCGAGCGGGCGGGCGCGTATCCCATCGACCCCCGCTCGGCCCCGCAGGCAGTGGCTCGTGAAGTGCTGCTCCTGGAACGGCCGCTGGGCGCACAAGTGCTGCCCCTGCAAGCGCGAGTACGCGAGCCCGCCCTAGCTGGGCGCACACGTGCCGCCCCTGCGAAGCGCGCGAGCCCGTCCTCAAGGCGGTGCCCATCGCGCGCGTTCGAGGGGGCCCGTCGAGCCGCGAGTCGACCCGGGTCCCTCTAGCCGGCGCCGCGCGACTCAAAGGTCCCTCGGTGCCTCGGGTTACGCCCTAGAGCCCGTGGCGCATGAGCGTGTCGTGGATGCGCGTCATCATGGGCGAGTAGCCGCAGACGTCCGGGAGGGGCATGGTGGGGAACCCCTTGTCGCGGAGCCACGCGTTGATGACGACGAAGCCCTTCTGGACCTCGCTGTGGAGCTGGTGCTGGGCCGCGTGGTCGACGTCGTAGCGGTTCCAGGCGCCCGTCTTCTGGGACTGGACGTTGTGCGTGACGACGACGTCGCGGCGCGCGAACGTCGCGCGACTCCCGTAGACCGTCGAGATCCAGTCGTCGGACCACCAGTTGCGGAAGGCCTTCGGGAAGAAGGCGTCGAAGATCTCGACGTGGGTCCGGTGGACGAAGGAGTGCGTGAGGATGCGCTCGTTCTGCGTGTCCAGCGGCCCCGCGACGCCCAGGTTCGGCGCGAGCTCCGACGCCTCGAGCGCCCTGACGTAGGTCTCGAGCCAGTCCTTGGACACCAGGATCGTGTCGTCGTTGAGCTGGTAGACGTAGTCCGCGCCGTCGTCGAAGACGGCCCGCTTCGCCATCTGGCTCACGGCCTGCGACGGCGCGCCGGACGTGTCGTCGAAGTGGACGAGCGTGAGCGAGAGCGCGGGGTCCTGGCCCCTCTTCGGGCCGTGGTCGAGCACGTGCTTGATGGTCCAGTTGCCGTAGCCGAGCCAGCGCAGCGCCTTGGTCGCGTGGCCCCGGAACGCGGACCGCATGTCCTGCCACGCGTCGCCCGTGTCGTAGAGCGCGTCGCCGCGGTCGAAGCCGAGGTAGAAGACGAACTGGTGCTTGTTCTTCCGCCAGTCGACGGACTCGACGAAGGACGCGAAGAGGTTGAACCAGAGCGGGCTCTGGTCCACGCTGCTCATGTCCGTGCCGCGGCTCGTCATCGGCACGACGACGGCGACCTTGAGCTTCGACGCCTCGAAGGCCGACGTCGCGCCGTCGCGGCGCCGCGGGTCCGCGCTCTCGCCGGGCCGGAGGCCGCTCGCGCGGCCCGTCTTCGCGAGGTCCGCGAGCTGGGCGTCGCGCCGCGCGGCGTCCGCGGCCGCGCGCGTCGCCGCGACGTGCCGCGACGCCGCGAGGAGCCGCCGCGCGGTCCGGAGCGCGCCCGCGTCGACCTTGGACGCGTTGAAGTAGTAGTCCGCGTTCAGCTCGTCGACGGTCTCGCCGGCCCAGCCGCGCACGCCCACGCTGACGTCGCCGCCGGCGCACTGGACGTAGCCCCGCATGAGCTCGCTGTAGAGCATGACCATGGACGGGCCCCACGTCAGCGACGGCCGCGCGTCGGCCCCGGCGTCCCAGCCGCCGTAGACGTCGTCGACCGGGAACTCGTCGCGGTACGCGTCGAAGGCGTTTTCTTCCCTGGGCGCCTCGACGGCGGGCGCCGGCTCCGGCGCCGCGGGCTTGGCCATGGGCTTGAGCTGGAACCGCTCCGCCAATCCCGCGAGCGGACTCGCGAACTCGACGATCCACGGCGCGTTCCACTCCGCGCCGGCGGGCGGCGCCTTGACGCGCGCGAACTTGCCGTTGCTCAACGCGCGGAGCCCCACGGAGCCCTCGTCGCCGTCGAGGTGCACGACCTCGAAGATGGCCTGCGGGCCCACGTCCGGCGCCGCGTCGACGTCCAAGCCCGAGAACGCGTGGCACCGGTCCGACATGTCGCGGAACTCGTCGGGCCCGACGTGGACGACGCGCCCGGGCCGCGCGGCGCAGTCCAGCGTCACGAAGGCGGCGACGTCGCTCGTCGCCGCCGCGAGGCCGTCGGCGACGTGCTCCGCCGCCGTGCCGTCGTCCGCGCCGCGCGCGTCCAGCGCGCCGTGGAGCGCCTCGGCCCACCGCCGCTGCACGTGCAGCCGCGACTCGAGGTCCTCGAGGCGCCACCCGAAGCGCCACTCCTCCGGCGACGACCGCACGGCCTCGATGTAGCGGTCGTCCCACAGCGCCTGCTGCCGCAGGTCCCAGGCGCGCCGCAGCTCGCCGTAGAATAGATAGGCGACGATCACGAGCAGCGTGTAGAGGACGCGGTTCAGCCAGGCGTCGTCCATCCTTCGACCGACTTGCGGTAGTGCGTCAGGAGCACGTGGCAGTCCTCGCCCTTGCAGAGCGTCTCCTGGATGACCTGGATCGGGCGCCGGGCGCCGTTCGGCGCGCGTCGCAGAGGAGAGCCGCAGCAGCTCGCCGCAGAGGTCCCGAGTGAGTTCTAGAGTGGGCAAACATCGGCTTCTGTTGACATCGTAGCAGCCCGCATGGACGCCTGAACCATGTCGCGGCGCCTGGCGCTGCTGGCCTGCGTCGCCGCCGCCGGTGCGGCGCCGGACAACGCCGACGTCGCGGCCTACGTGCGCGGCCTCGGCGCCGTCGTCCCGCATTGCAGCCCCGTGTCCCAGGGCACGTGCATCTACGTCGACGGCGCCGGCGGCATCGTCCACGCGCGCGACATGTACCGGACCAAGGTCGCGGGCAAGGGCAAGCAGATGCTCATGGACATGATGCTGCGCGGCGCCGTCGAGGCGCTGGCCGCGGGCGGCGCGGCGCTGCCCGGGCGGTGGACGTCGTTCAACATGGTCTACACAGCCGCGGGGCCGACGAAGCGGCGGCCCTTCCCGACGCTCGCCATCGGCAAGCGCGAGCCGCACCGGCCGGGCCTGCTCATCCCGAACCCCTTCTTCGTGTCGCCGGCCTGGTGGGCGGACCACGCGGCGCGGACGCTCCGGCGCGCGGCGTCGCGGCCCTTCCGAGAGCGGGACAGCCGCGCGCTCTTCCGCGGGTCCTGCGGGCCCGGCGCCGCCGCGCGCCTCGAGCTGCTGCGCGTCGCGGCGGCCCTCGGGGACCGGCTCGACGTCGGCTTCACGGGCGTCGACGGCTTCCCGTCGCTCGGCGCGTGCGTCGCGGCGCTCGAGGCGAAGACGGGCCTCGCGGCGCCGCGCGGCGCGAACGTCTCCGCGGCGCACGTCGCCCAGGCCAACTACAGCGCCTACAAGTACCTCATCCACATGCCCGGCTCGGCGACGGGCTCCTACTCGCGGAACCTCCAGTACCTCTGGACGCACGGGTCCGTCGTCCTCGTCTGGAACCACACCGCGACGGAGTGGTACTACGGCGCGCTCGTCGACGGCGTCCACTACGTGTCCGTCGACGCGGCGACGCTGGGCGACAAACTCGCGGACCTCGAGCGCGACCCGGCGCTCCGGGCGCGGCTCGTGCGCGGCGCGCGGCGCTTCTTCGACGACCACCTCGCGGCGCCCGTACTCGTCGACCGCTGGCGCGCGGTGCTCGACGCGCTCGGCGCGGCCCAGGACCGGGGCGACCCGGCCATCCCCGAGTCGGCCTGCACCTGCGACGCGCGCCTCGCCGCGACCTACGCGGCCTGCGACCAGTGCGACGTCACGCGCCTTGGCCCCGCGGACGTCGCGCACCACGTCGGCATCGCGAAGCGCGCGCGGCCGCCCCGCGTCGCGCCCCTGGGGGGGGCTTAAGAAGGCAGCGGCCTAGGTGGCGAGCTCGAGGTCCGGCGTCGGTGCGATCTCGAGGTCCCGCGAGAAGGACACGGATCGGCGCCCGCGCGGCCGCGGCGGCGGGTCCGCGTCGACGGCCAGGCCCACGTCGCGTGCGAAAAAGCGCGTCGCGACGGACGGCGTCGGCGGCGGCTTCTGCGGGCCGAGGGCCGCGAGCTGCCGGACGACGTCCGCGCTCGCGCGCGCGCGGACGCAGTGGCGGAGGAGCTCGTCGACGGCGGCCTCGAGCTCCGCGTGGTCCGCGGACCCGTCCGTGTCGCGCGCCGCGAGGAGCGCCGCGGCGTCGCCCAGGGCCCGCTGGGCGTCGAGGACGAGGTCCGCGCGGCCGCCGGGCGCCGCCGGCGGCCGCGCGGGCGACCGCGGCCGCGCGCGGCGCGGCTCGGGCAGCGGCGGCGGCGGCGCGCGCGGGCTCGAGCACTTCCAGGCCTTCTGGGACCCGTCGGTCTTGTTCGCGCCGTGCGTCGCCTCGTCGCGCTGGTTCGCGAGCGTCGCCTCCCCCCTGAAGATGGCGTCGACGAAGCCGCCGCCGCCGGGCGCGCGCTTCCGCGGCGACGGCACCGCGAGGTCGTCGACGCGGCGCCGCCGCGGCGACCGCGGCGGCGACGCCGCCGGCGAAGCCGCGGGCCCGTCGACGAAGAGCTCCATCTCCGGGACGCTCAGGCGGTCGTCGCCGCCCGTGTCGAGTTCGCGAAACAGGAGCGCGATGTCCGCGTCGGAGCACGACCGCGGCGGGAGGTTGAGCCGGCCCCTCACGAGGGCCTCGAGCTCGCGCGGGTCCCAGGACCCGTCGTGGTCGAGGTCGGCCTGCTCGAAGAAGGCCGCCGTCGACAGGCCCTCGCGCTTGATCGCGGCCCGGAGCCGCTTCCGGATGACGCCGAGCCGCTCGGCCCGGCGGAGCGCGGCCTGCTCCGCCGCGAGCCGGTTCGCCGGGTCGAGGCAGTGGACGAGCTCGACGTCGTCGTCGGCGACGGGCGGCGCCGCCGCGTCCGTCTTGGTCGTCGCCTTCCTGCGCCGGCCGCGGAGGTAGCGCGCGAACTCCTCGCGGTCGATGGACCCGTCGCCCGTGCGGTCGATGGCCTTGAAGGACTGGCGCACGGCGTCGTCGGTCACGGACGCCGCCGTCAGCTGCAGCGCCTTGCGCAGCGTGTTGTAGAACTCCTTGTAGGACAGCGACCCGGAGCCGTCCTCGTCGGCGCGCCGCAGCAGCGCGCCGACCGTGGGCACCTTCGCCTCGACGGCGGCGACGAGCAGCCGCTGCCGCACGTGCTCGGCGATGGCGTCGGGGCTCCGCTTCGACAGCACCTTCTGCTTGTTGG